AGATTTTAACACATTCTGGAGCGCGTGCCTATCGTTTTTAAAATCTTCACCTGGCATTATGGCTTATGTTGCTATTAGTGGGCATTGAAAAAAATCATGTAAATCATTATCGACGTTCAGCTCAAGACCCCCACGCTTAATATGTCTCCCCCTGGCCCACCTACACTTTCTCCAGCCCCACCACACAATAATTCCTGGCTACGACTGTGTAGAGTTGCATTAGGTAAGTGTTGTGGTGTACTGGCAGCGTCTTTGTGTTTGTTTGTTTCCCCCTGTCTGTGTTGTTTGTGTGGGCGTGGTGGCTGTCACTCCTGGCTCCCGGCTCAACCTCCACTCACCTGCTGCAATCAGCTGTGCACCCTCCCCGACTACACACCTGCTTTCCATCAAGCCATTTACAACGACATATCAACGGAGGCTCCACAACCTTTCTCCGCCAGATCGTCAAGTATCAGCCGTATCTCGCGTCTCACCTCCGGTCAGCGCCGTAGTGTGGAGTTGCATTAGGTAACGGGAGATACGGCTGATACTTGCGCATTAGTTTCTGTTATGGATCAGTATCAACAGTCCTGCCAGTAACGTTACTATATTATCAATACTACTTTAGTTATAGCCTGATATATGATTGCTAACTTTACAATGTTGTGATGTGACTGACGTTAGCTAACATGCTAACGCCGGTCACTCACCAAGACAGCTGCTCTGTTCTCCACTGGTTCTCCACACACCAAAGCTCCATTTCTCTCCGATGGCCGTTATTTTTTCTAATCCTTGGCTGCTCCTGGTCTCTTGGACGCCTAGCAGGCTCATAATTATAATCATATGCATTCGAATATATATTTTCAACCTCTTTTTATGCGTAAGTGAAAATGTCTTACTAAAACGACGCCAGATGTCACTGTAGTGTATATTTTTGTATATTTTTTGTAAAATCTAGTGTGTTCATCATTTTCCTACACATTTATTCACTGGTGTCTCTAACCTGCAAGTTGCTCTTTAAGTATAAAGTCTTAAATATGAGAACAGGGTTAGGGTTAACCCCATCTCTTGATTTGCCCCTGAAGAGGAAGAACTTAATGCACTTAAGAAGAACAATTTCTTATATTTTAAGAAGATTCTGAACTCGGGCCAAAAACATCATGCTGCAAACGACCAAAGAGTTTAGAAAACATGACATCGCAGAGAGAAGAAACAAGAAGCTTGCAACACATAGCTACGCATGGGTTAGCTGTTGATGACTGTCAGGCAGTTGGATGAACAGTTCACCTTTGGAGTTCTGCTTATTGAGGCTCTTGAGTCTTTAGCAAGCAGCGAGTGTTGAAAGGCTCCTCAGAAGTGAAATTGGACTCTTTCAACAATATATACAAAAATGATGTAGAAGTTCGAAAGGGACGTCTGCCACACTTAAAGTCGGCCCTCAGATTCCACCCTAAAAAAGTGGGTGCAGATTCAAACTCTAATCTACTGACTGATTTGTAACGCAGTATACTGGCATCATTAAATGTTTGTTTTGGGTAATGTTTTGACTACCTAAGTATCAGTAGTACTGTATGCTTTTGTTGCTTATAGCCAGATGCAGTGCTGCATGGAAAACATGTCTGAAGGTGAATCTATAAGGGATATGTTCGTTTTCTCTTTTTACTGCGATAAGAGGATGGAAAAGGCTAGGTTTTAAGTGACTTTGATGCTACTTGGTATCTTCTTTTGGCTGAGCAGAGAGGGGTGGGTGCTGCTCTTACCTCTGCAGAAGTTCTGCTCATCTGCAGTGTATCCGGCTGTACAGCGGATGGTGCGGCTGTTCACCTGGGTGTCTGTAGTCCGGGGGGGTACAGGCTGGATTGGCAGGACAGCAGAGACGGCAGGGACAGCAGGGACAGCAGGGACAGCAGAGACAGGGTCCGGCAGCTGCACCTGCTCGCCATCCTTACTGATATAGATGATGGCGCTCTTGGGGAGGCAGAGGTATCCACCAAAGTGGTTGACACACTGCATACCTCCTTTGCAGGCATCCTCTAACAACTCACACTCATCGATGTCTGACAGGGACAGAACATTATGACAGAAAAAAATAGATGATATATAGCATTATCTTGGCTGGAATATTTAAATTGGTTAAATAAATAACATATATTAAACTTAATTGAATGTATTAAAATCATTATTAGGCATTAAAAGCTAATCGGTGTTATATTAACCGATAATTAAAAAATGTCAGTCAATATCTCACCTCTGCACTGCTCTTTGGTACTGTCATACTCATACCCTTCTGTGCACTGTGAAGGAGGGATAACAATGACTGTAATTGTCCCATAATGTAACATCATATGATAATTAAAAACACGAGGCACTCAGTTCCCCATCAGCAAATGAAAGTACGCAGCGTTCCAAGTCCCATAGAAACACGAGGTGTTAAATATCTCTCACTTACTGTGTAGTAGACAGGCTCCTCAGCCTCCTGAGAGAGGACATGTGTGAAAACCGCAAACAGACACACGCAGATCCCCAGCATGTCGACCAAACCACGGAGCAGCACTGTAACGAGATGCAGAGGAACCAAATGGATAGAGCGTGCAAGATCATTTTTCGCTTGACAAGCCTACAAGTTTTAATACCAGTTATTACATCATTGATGGCATTGCTTAACGAGTCCCAACATCTCCCGCTGTTGGCGTGATGTTTATGTTGGCACGTCTCCAGCTAAATCTGCGACTTCAACTAAGTGAAGTGTTTTTATGCTGTATTTATTCCAAAAGGATTAGTGCGTAATACGCGTAAAGATCGTGCGTAAACATGCCCTCCTGTGTCAGTCACTGTCAGGAAAATGAACGAGTTAATCAGCCATGCAGAGCTCGTGTTGATTAAAATGTGCACAAAACATGTTCAACTTAACAAGCCTCCCAGTCAAATATTACTCTTCCTCGTTCACCGCACAATGTTCCTACTGACACTTGTTACTGGGCAATTCCCTGAAACAAGAGAAATACACAAGAAACAAGTGGTACTGCAAAAAAAAAATATCTCACTTGTTTCAACATTCACAATCCTTCAACAGCTATCATTGTTATCTTTCACATCGCAGTACTGTATGCATTAGCTTTGTCATCCCGTGGCGTACCTGCAATTACCTGCGGATCTCCAACTTGCCGAAGATGTCCCCGGGTTATGTTTTTGTTGCGAATCCGTGTGCGCTGGCTTTTATTCTGCAGAAAGTGCAGTAGATGTTAGATGTTGGATGTTAGTCGGAGTACAAGTAGCACTTGTGATGAACATGCTGCTCGTATACTATGACATGCTGGGGGCGGTATACCGGGCAGGTTGAGCTCAGGCTTTCTCTCTCACCGGGGAGCAGTAAACCATCAGCAGGCTACAGTGGCTCCCTCTATAGACTGATGACTAGTGATTAAAAAAAAGGTAATAATCATAAAACGGCTATCGATGGAAAACTGAGCTAAAAAATAATCTGTGATTAGTCCTTAGTCATTATATTACTTCACAGAGCGAACATATTTCCATCGGTGAAGAACCCAAAGTAAACAGAGTAAGGGTTACCACTGTATTACAGCCCTGGCTCCCATGCAATAAACATTGAAGTTGAACCTATAATTTACTGCCGTAATAACACTTATTATAGATAATTTAATTAAGCTTTAATACAAATCTATTTGTCCTTATTGTACTAGTGTTCTTTTAACAACACCATAGGGAATTTGATTGGATGTTTTTCTTATTTTTCTTATTTTGAGCATTTTCCAAGAGGAAACCTGGAGCCATAACCTGTTTAATTTGTATAGGCCTACACAATTTCTGTATGTTATTTTAAGAATGAGCTTCCATAACGCTAACGGTTATGACATGCAGAGCATGTCAAGCTGTGAGGGTTCAGATATGTACAGTATGTGTGTGCAGCAGGTGTTAAAATCAAATCATGTGTTGAAGACCTCTGTCAGCAACCACTACATTAGCCTCAAACACATTTCACGGTGTTTACAGGATGCCTGCGCTTCAGGAACATCTGCTAGAATTGGCATGGCTTCCTGGATTTCCCATGGGTGAAGAGACAGCAAGTGATTGTGTGTGAGTACACATGCATGTGTGCCAACAGCTTGCTGATACGAATGGATAGAAATGTACTTGGCGCCTCCTCCTTTAATGCTGACCTTGTGACCTTTACTCACGGCCCGGGGTGTGGATGACAGGAAGCCTGAAGATATATTCTGCATGGTGAAATACCCTGTAGGTGCAGAGGCAAACTCGAGACTTTTTCTGGCAGAAATGTGATTCTTATTTTCCAAGACTGGTGTTTAAGCTTTAATTGAAGCTTTAACTTGTAGTCAGAGAGAGTTTAACCAGGTATACACTTTAAAACTTTCATTTTAGAGCAGAGCTCTGGTCCTCAACTGTACAAATATGTATGTCTGCTACCAAGAACAAACCAGAATATGGCCCTAGAATAAACTATAGAATATTCAAATAAATACAAACATGACACACAAATTATTGCCAGAGGCTTGACCTTTCACTTAAAGTTTATTTTACTTGGCAAGCTATTCAACACATGCACAAAAAGGCATAAACATTGAGATAAAATACTTGTTAAATCAAAGTTGTTTTGAAACACTTAATAGAGATTAATTGGAGGTTTTATCCAAGACTGACGAAAGAGAGGATTTCCCCTTGGTACTATTCCTCACTGGAACCAAATGAGACAGTCGTGCTTGCAGATCAGACAGTTGAGGCTGAGGTGGGTGTGCCCCCTCCCCGAGTGCACCTCTAGGTGGGAGAAAATCTCTAGAAATGTTATTTAGGAGACTATCTTTTCCCAAATGATATTACAAAAGCACTGATCAAGTACATTTGAACATCTGTGCAGAAATCGCATTAAAACAGTATTTGTAAAAGTGAGCATGCAAGAAGAACGCGCTAACGTATGACCTCAAGAAACCCAGGCACTCCATTTGGACTTAAGTGCACAACAGGGGAACATAATACACCAGATCGCACAAAATACATTTAAATGCAAAAGTGATAGATTGGACCTTAGCTTAACATAAATACTGCTTTGAGTTTCACAACATCTCTGTGGTCATTATTACCTAATCCCCCAGCTAGCAATGGTGACTAACACACACATGCACACACACACACACACACTCTGCAGTAATCTGTTCATCATCACAGTTTAACAGTCCTAAGAACAAAAATACAAAACAAAAATTCAAAGGACTTATAAACAAGAGGACTACATTTTTTTTTCAGAGCATTAAAAAGGATCCGGTACTGTTTGAAGTTTATTTCGATGCTGAAGGCAATGCATCAGGTTCTGTTGGCTATTGAGCATCGGCCAATCAGTTCCTGATGCAGTATCATCCACATCAGAAAGTTCTTCCTTCACCCCGACGGCGCTGCTGGGGCTCTGCAATATCTCATAATAATGAGATGATTAAAAAAAAGACCCAAACTCATTAAAACAACACATTATTATTCTTTTCATGCTAGAATAATTCAATAGACAATACTGTACAGTACACTTCATTGTAAGTCAAGATGGCAGCAGAAGCATCTGGAAAGTGAATTCATGCAAATTCAAGATAGGCATGCATTATGAAAGAACTGCAAAGATGAGGCTGCACATCAAAAGACTCTCCCAAAGAAATGTTTTAAAAAGTGGGGAAGGGGGACGCAGAGGAGGTAGAGTAGACCAAGAGGGTTTCTGTGAAAGGCGCTTGTGTAATTGTAGTGACATCTTCATTGAGAGCCCTCCATCTCTTTCCTGTGTGCTCCAAAGGGCGTCGCTGATGCCGGTCGATGGGGAGAGCAGCCGAGGCGCTGCGTTTAGCATAATCCCAGAGGCCATTGTGAGAGCAGCTAGTGAACGACTCACAGTTGCCAGCTGAGATTTCACCAAAACACAGCAGAACACAAGGAGAAGGGGATGAGACAGGAGAAGCAGAGGTGGAGGAGGGGTCGGCGTGGGGGGAGAGACTCAGGCCAGAGACAGGAGGGTTGGTAGCAGCAGTGAAGAAAAAAATGCAGATGTGTCAAATAGTACATAAGTTGGGATCTAATGAGTAGTATTTTGTGTATATATACGTATAGTGTTTTTGCTAGAGAGGGGGCAGCATGGTTGTAGGATCAGGGTGGTGGTGAATATCTGTGGTGAGCGTGCAGCTTGCACAGCATCAAAGAGTATAATGTGTGAAACCCGTTTTCTTCCAGGTGGACTGCACCTGTTGGCCCTCATTCAAGACTGTAATTCAATAATCTTCCCCTTTTTCTGCTCTTAAACAACCCCTAACTGTTTTGACTTGTAATAATGAGGCATAAAAAGATTAAGCAAAAGTGTCACATGGCAACATCTTGTCTATTGTGCAACGATCATTACCTTGAGCTACAATGTGAAATCCTCTTTGATCACTGTTTCACGTAGGCAGTTTTATAGCCAACCTTTGGTAAACAATTTGGTCTCCTCCTGACATGTTACATACAAATCACTAAGAAGAAACATGAGATTTGTTGCTCAGACAATACAATATTGCCTAGAATGGGTTTATGTTATGGAGTTTTTAAGGAATAAACTGCAGAATCTCTCCAGGTGATTGTGAGAATATAAAGCACCATCACAGTTGCCTGCAGAGATTACCCAGTCCTCCTTTAGACCCCTCACTCGTGCCCAGCTGTTCTGTGGTGGTTAGTCTTTATATCCATGAGAGTAAATTGGCAGCAGACGGTTAACACTGATCAGGATAAAGGCAGAGCTTTGACCCTACACCCCCTACCGTACCAAAAGGTCCTATGTTACCATGGTGACAAGGCCAAGGCACGTGCCTCCCATTGTTGAGCTGTATCCTCCAGGGTCAGCCGCACACCCAGTCAGAGGTCAGATGTCATCCGGCCCCTCGCTCAGGTCAGCACTCACCAGGCCTCAGCCTTTGACCCCTCCAAACACTGAACAAATTGAGAGAAAGGGGAAAGGGGGGGGGGGACAAGATGGAGAAATCAAACATATCAACTCAACAATTCTGCTCGAACACCTGACAGTTTAAGATATTCTGGCAACATGTGTATATTTATTGTGCTTTAGGACTTTTGAATGGAGACTAGTAGAGTAATCCTGTGTATGCAATGTACAGTATGGTCGAGGATCCCTCTTTGTTACAGTATGTCTCCCTCTTGTGGTGAAATATGATTGAAATGTTAAAGTTCCTGCAGACTTGATTCAAAGCCAAGCACTCAGAAAAAGGGGCATTTAGGATAAATACCATATAACCATAACAACCCTTGTCTGATTTACCTCTAATACCTTTGTTCCATGTCATCATTTTCTTTTATAGTGTTTCTTGTCTATATCTACTATGTAAACTATTTTATAAAGAGCAAAGTTCCCAAAAATGCATAATGTAAAATGTATGCTGGATCTTGGTGCATCATAAATATGAGATACACATGATAGTGTATGGTCTTCTACCCTTGACAGTCATTTAATGTTGGATTCAAACAATTTCTTTATAAGTTAAATGTCCACATATTCATCATGGTCATTCATAAACTTTTTTTGTTGTTGTAATAAACAAAACAATATGGTCTTTTGTAGTTTTGCTGACCAAAGCAGACATGTGTCCATACAAAGTCTTTGGCCAGAGGTGCCATCTTCTCCATTGAGCCAGGACGCATGTTGGGATATTCAGGTCATCGAGTTGCTAAGTGTTGCTCAGGCGTTGACAAAAGAAAAATCTTAAGTTTATTAAACGGAACAGGCTGACAGTCCACACTTTGTTAGGCGGCGAATGAACAGAGTGGTTTTGACAGGCCTAACCTCTTAAGCTTCGGGTCCCACTGAGCTCGGCACAGCTAGAGCTAAATGCCATCTGTCCCAACATCATGACGCCCCCCCCCCTCAACTGTCCCCCAACAGTTTAGCATAACGAAATCATGTAATTTTACTGTTAAGGAAGAATATTTTATTGTTTATTAGGATTAATGACCTTAAGACACCTACATTATTTTATGTTGCATCTCTCTCTCTCTCTGTTTGGGGTTTCCACCAGCCGTGTCTTAAACTTAAAAAATAAAGAGTAGAGCAGCCAGAGCCAAAAACAGGAGGAAGTTAAGAGTGAGTAGGACGAAATGGTAAATCTAAACCGATACTAGTGACCCCTGAGAACTATCTTTGCTTCACTGTAACTACGAATAATGAGTCAGTAAAACATTAAGAAACTTTTTCTTTTAAGTTTTGACTCTGCAAACAGTGCTGCACAGACCCTGTATTGTACCATATAGAGATGGCATGGGAAGGTCCT